CAACGAGCCGCGTTCTGACATTTGGATCGACTCTATACAACTTTCATAGCTACCTATCGCGGTTCAACTCAGATATGACAAGATATGCACAAGTTTCTCCAACCCGAAGACTATGACCCCAAAAACCGCTCTATTTATCACCTATAGACGCCATCAATTTACTTGATCACAGCCTCACCTCGTCGCAAGGCGAAGATGGCATAGGCACGTTTTACCTCCCGCTCGGATGTTGTCATCAGGGACCAACCGCCACCCACCAGACGAATTGCCTCGATAAACTGGTGTAACTTCGCCGGTCTAAATATTGTGGCAGGCTCCAGGATCAGCCCAAATTAAATAAACATAGCATCAAACACATCCATCTTACGACGCTCTCTATGGACCCCCTTGTTGTATTTAGAGAAAAGGTACATATCGACACCTGTGTAGCAGATCGACCTATCTCGGCAGCCAGTTCGAAAACTTCCTATCACAGAAAACTTTTCAAGGACGCCCCGTTTTAGAATTCGATTCAAAAAACGCCCTATCTCAGCTGCCGATTCAAAAACACCCAATCTCAACATATTTTCAGTTGAGATAGGGCGTTTTTGAAAAGTNATCCTATCTCAGAAAACTTTTCAAGGACGCCCCGTTTTAGAATTCGATTCAAAAAACGCCCTATCTCAGCTGCCGATTAAAAACACCCAATCTCAACATATTTTCAGTTGAGATAGGGCGTTTTTGAAAAGTTTTTTGAGATAGGACGTTTTCGAACTGGCCGCTGATATACATACGTCCATCTTCCACTCACGGTTCGATATATTGAATTAGAAACTTAACGATTTCAGAAATGTGTTATTTTACTTTGGAACAATTTAAAACCCGAGAAACATTTAAAAATTAAATTTTCCAGTCTATCGATTTTTTTTTTACTTAAAACGACAATCAATCGCAAATTTTTACTCACCCTACTGCACATTGCCCAAGACCAAATCCTAATTGTGAATGCCCCCTCTCGTAAACTAATCAAATTTTACCCGTCAATTTTTTTTTTTTGAAAATTTGATTAGCAGCAAAGAAATAATGTAAATTTCAAAAACGNTTTTTACTTAAAACGACAATCAATCGCAAATTTATACTCACCCTACTGCACATTGCCCAAGACCAAATCCTCATTGTGAATGCCCCCTCTCGTAAACTAATCAAATTTTACCCGTAAATTTTTTTTTTTTGAAAATTTGATTAGCAGCAAAGAAATAATGTAAATTTCAAANTTACTCACCCTACTGCACATTGCCCAAGACCAAATCCTAATTGTGAATGCCCCCTCTCGTAAACTAATCAAATTTTACCCGTCAATTTTTTTTTTTTGAAAATTTGATTAGCAGCAAAGAAATAATGTAAATTTCAAAAACGTACAATTCGTTGTTTTTCTACTGCGAATACACAGGCGATGGAACCAAGTCGCACGCGAGTTTGCATTTGCTATTTGATATCGACATTGCTAATAGGTTTCTTCATCTATATACTGGTCTCGAGCAATTTGGAGAACAGACGCAAACTCGGCCGACTGCGCGAGGATGTAGATGAGATTGCGGTGAGTGTGTAATGTGTAAAGAAATCAACCGCCATCAACTGCTCCCTCTCTCTATTATTCCATTATTTGAACTTCATCTACTTGCCGCCCCATAAGCACGTTGTGCTGCATGCTGCGCCGGGACAAGGTGAAACAAAACATCTGAATGAAATTGTTGACGGTATTCTGAAGAAGCGACTGGCCGGTATTTGGGATGATTTGTATGCGATGAAAAAGCAGTTACGACTCACTGAGTGTGCGGGTGTACGGCTGTCAGCGCCACAGACCATGGCCGAGGGTGGTGGTGGTGGTGGTGGTGGTGGTGGCGGCGGCGTCGGCGATGGTGCGTTAGTGGAGCGATCAATGCGAGCGCGCGTCAATTACGCAGCGGAAGAGTTGGGTGCGAAGGTGTATGATGTGAAGGCGGAGCCGCTTGATAGCGGCAATGTGGTGAGATCAGTGCTAGGGCTGCAATATAGCGCAAATCCGCCAATAAATATGCTAAAGCCAGGAATGGAGCCGGGTAATTGCTTCGCCTTCAAGCGGGCACAGGCGGTGGTGACCATCAAACTGGCACAGGCGGTAAGTGAGAAAAATTAGAATTTCTATTTGAATAAGATTATTAAATGGACTATTATATTTCTTGTGCGCAGATATACGTGGAGAGTTTCGAGTTGGAGCATCTATGTAAAGGCAATGCGCCCAACAATGATACTAGCAGTGCGCCAAAGGACTTTGAGGTTTATGTAAGTGATTTGCAAAAAAAAAAATTAAAACAACTAGAAAAAATAATAAAATTTCTGCAAAAAAAATTTGCAATTTTAAACTTATATTAGCAATCGCTGCAGCCTAGAAGAATGCAACAAAAAGTGAAAATTATGCTCATTAACCTATCTTATTTTACTTTCACAGGGCATCATGGCCACTTCCTGGCAGGAATTCAAAATGGGCGATTTTACGTATGCAAATCAGCAACCACCAGCGCAAAATTTCGCTGTGCAGTGCGAAAATAAATATCTTTACGTGCGCTTCAAGTTCAAGTCCAATCATGGGCATGCAGAATATACCTGCGTTTATCGGTTAGATTTATAAAAAAAAGAGATTTAAAATTCGTATAAAGTATTTTTTCTTCATTGGTTTCCGCTTTTTTTTTTTTTACAGTGTTGCAGTCTACGGTCGCAGTGAGAAGTAGTAAGGAGGCGGATTTCATATTTTGGACAATGAATGCTAAGCGATCCAGAAATGCGTTTTATATGCAGCATTATTTTGTATACAATGTGTATTATGTACATAACCCCGTATAGTATTTATTATGTGGATTTTTTTTTTTTTTTGTTATCTCTGAGGTATAGTATTTGTTAAATTTCTTTATTTTACCACAGTCACACATATGTTGTTTATATTTTTATACATATACGACAATTTGCATAAAATTTTTTTTACATAAGTGCCATGTAAATTATAGATATATACATATTTGTTAATATTCTCGTAATTTATTCTTTTAAAATATATTCATTGATGGTTTTAATTTAATAATGGCTTATGGAGACTTTTCTTCAATCGAAAGTTTTTTCCAGTTAACTAGTTTTCCATTCCATCCAATTCAGAATACTCCCGGGGAGTTTGTTCTTTGTGAATTTTGTTTCTTCCGAGAAGGAAATCCTCCAATAATTAACTCCCAGGGCGTCGCATTTTCCCCGAAAATATGGGTGGAGGAATTTCGAATTTCGAAAAAGCTGTCTGACACTTTTTAGACAGCTCAACTCCGCCATTTAATATAAAAAAAATATCCTCGAGGAATTTTTGTTCATGATAGGTGGAAAGGGAAAAGCGAGCAAACCCTAGGGAGTGTCTGTTCAGAATCGGCATCAATATTTTAACTGTTACCCCACATGTCCACTTTGCTTATATGTATGTATGTAAGTATTAAATATCAACCACAATGTGTTGCATACTTCAGGGCGGATAAAAAGAGAAATGTACATTAAGGCGTATAACGGAAAAAAGTTTAGTGTGTGTCAGTTTTATTTAAACACTTATGTCGAGAAAAAATTTTGGGTGTAAAAATATTTTTTTGCACCCGCTAAATCGCGTTTTTTGCTTTAATTTCCTTATTTGCTATCCGCTATTTATGTAACCGTTGTCATCGTTTTTGAGTGCTTTATATTTATAGCATAAAAATAAAAATCTAGGGATAGTAATTCCAAAATTAGTGAAGGTGCAAATTAAAACGTGTTTGAAGGCCAAAACTGTCCAATGGCCAATTATAGTGCTGAGCGAAACCTTTTCAGCGACATAAAGTTTTAAAAAATCGGGTATAAAATAAGAAAGTTATAGCAAAAAACGTTGTTCTTGCATTCACATACAAATTTTTCGTCAAGCTAGCAGGGATGAATTAAACCAAAAAAAAATCCTTACTTCGCCATGTATACTAAGGACATTTAACCGTTAATCGAGCTTTGTATCAAAAATGATACATTTTGTTTTATATCTTATCATAACTTCTTTAAAAAAAAATTGAGTGCTGCATTCTTCGCGACTATGTTTATTTTGTTATTGCTGTTATTTTTAAACATATTTTCAAAAAATTTTGCAAGTAGGCCATGAGAAATTCAAAAACTTCATAATTCGAGCTATGTATCATTTTTGATACATATGGCAATTCAAACGTTTTTTTGCTGCGGTGCACGTCATTCGCTACGCGATTTTTGGTATTTGTGGTGTGTTTTTATTTCTTGGGGTGCTTTTTTGAAGATTCATTTATTTTGTCACATAATTGTGTGTATTCAAAACAATGTCGCGTCCACGGTTTTTGACCTTTGAGGAACTAGTGAATGAAGTACTGGATGAGAGTGAAGAGGATGAAGATGTTTNGGTGCCGTTGATCACTTGTGGTGCACTCTTGAATAGAAGAGTCTCATGTCAGTTCAGCGATCCCCGGGCGAAAACCAGGACTTGTGTGCTTGCAAGGTCATTCTGGCCGAGGGTGGACGGGGCCGATCGGGGTCACTTCTCACGCTTACAAAGCCACAGCTCTCACTCTTGGTGGGGGTTATAACAGGTCACAGTCCAGCAGGTATTCACGCAGTAAGGCTGAATATATTACCTGATCCCGATCTTGGAGTTACATTTGGATCGTGAAGAAATTAACGATAATCTTAAATTTTTATATGATAATCGTAGTTGGTTTTGTTTTTTGCTTCAAAATTACTTGTTAATTTTCATTATGTAGGTTGGCAAATTAAAAAAAAAAAATAAATAAATTTTTGGTACCTTTACCAACACCGTTTTTGTAAAAAATACTGGGAAGTGTTGTGGCCAAAAAATATCTTTGAGAGTTCAACCACTACCTTTACGCAGTATCTACAGATACTTATATACCTTCATGTACATCCACACATGATATGTATGTACATACATATGTACATACGTATAGAGACAAAGGTGGAAGCAGCTGTTTGCCCTGAAAACCACTATTCCAAACAAATGATGGATGGACTTTTTGGGTACATATGTAGATACGTACATACATATGTATACATGTACATTAGGGTGGCCCAAAATTCATGAGAAAAATTCAAGTTGGAGTATTTATGCACTTACCCCCTAGGATTGTTCTATACCGAATAAAATATATCACTATTTTTTTTTTTTGAAATCAAAAAATATTTGGAGGTCGCTCAAAGCGCTTAAAGTTTTCCATTACATATTTTATATGGAAAAAAACTACTTTTCGTACAAATCGTATAGAATTCTTGAAAATCAATATTTTTCGATCGAAAANTGTATGCATGTACATTAGGGTGGCCCAAAATTCATGTGAAAAATTCAAGTTGAAGTATTTATGCACTTACCCCCTAGGATTGTTCTATACCGAATAAAATATATCACTATTTTTTTATTTTGAAATCAAAAAATATTTGGAGGTCGCTCAAAGCGCTTAATGTTTTCCATTACATATTTTATATGGAAAAAAACTACTTGTCGTACAAATCGTATAGAATTCTTGAAAATCAATATTTTTCGATCGAAAACCCCTGTTCCGAATAAACATACCCAGTTATTTATTTAACCATTTTTTCCCAGTAACTATATTTTATACGTCCGCCAAAGCGCCAGAAAATGCCGGTAAATGCAGTGCAGGAATAAATAAAAAAATGTTAGTATTAAAAAAATGGTTAAATAAACAATTGGGTATTCTTACTGGAGGTCTCCTGAAGAGAACCAGAGTTTCCCGATCGAAAAATACTGATTTTCAAGAATTCTATACCACTTCTACGAAAAGTCGTTTTTTCCCCATATAAAATACATGGAGAACTTTGAGCGCTTTGAGCGACCTCGAAATATTTTTTGATTTCAAAATAAAAAAAAAAAATTGGGGGAATATTTTATTCTATATCGAAAAATCCGAGGGGTGAAAGCATTAAAATTCCGACTTTACTTATTTTGGGCCACCCTAATGTACATATGTATGTACGTGTGCACCTACGTATGTATGTATGTATGTATGTAGAAGCACTTGTACATATGTATATAATCATGAAAAATTTTTTGGCATTTCGAATAGCAGTGTACAGTGGAAAGTGGGAANTACGTGTGCACCTACGTATGTATGTATGTATGTATGTAGAAGCACTTGTACATATATAATCATGAAAAATTTTTTGGCATTTCGAATAGCAGTGTACAGTGGAAAGTGGGAATTGATGAAAGTGTTGAGTGCGACGACTGAGTGGATTTATGTAATTTTAAATTAAAAGTCTATCTTTAAATTCTGTATGTTTTTGTAAGCTCTAACATGTAAAATACTTGAAATCGCGTCGGTGGCTAAATTTTTAAAAGTTCTCAATTTCTAAAAAAATTATAACAAATTGTTTAAAGTTTTCCTATTGCTCTGCAAGTATTTTAACGATAAAGAAATACGTGAAATTTTCTCTCATAAATGAACATAAAAGTGGTAACAGTTTGATGATTCGAGTTGCAGTTACACACACACACACATGCACGCATACAAGTCAGCATTTTCCCCGCAGCAAAATTTACATATAGAAAGTCTGATTAAGCATTATTTCAACACTACCCCTTTGAGAACTGGCTCTGAACTACTGCAAAACGTATGCAGAGCAGACTGTTGAAAGTCGGATTTAGCTGATGGCGCTGTTGTCAAAGTTTTCCAATAAAAACGGTTTACATGAAAAAAATTCCGACGGAGTGATAACTTCCTCCTTGTTTTGAAGTCGGTTAAAAATGAATAACAATAATAAGGGGGAAAATCCGAAAATTAAACTGCGAACTTTGTTTCTATGTAGTCAAAAAGTGTTTGTCCACAACAAGCTCCCAGCTCCCTCTTGTGCTGTTCCCCATAGATGATATGCACAGCAAGGCGACCTGGACTACCATTATTATGGCGGCACACGTCCAGACGATCACGCTACAGTAGTACATAGAAGGCTCTAAGTCTCGTAAGAGTATTGACGCAGGCGTATATGGCCCTAGACGGAAGCTGTTAGTAGCCATGGGAACCTTCCCAAGTATCTTCCAAGCATAAGTTCAAACCATCAGTGATAGTCAGGCGGCACTTATAGATCTCTCATCCTTCGAGGTCAAATCCTCTGTGGTCCTGCAGTGCATCGAGAAGCTTAATGCCCTTACTAGGCACAATACTATAAAGCTAATATGGGTACCAGGTCACATGGGAGTCGAAGGAAATGAAGAACCTGATCAGCTAGCCTGACTAGCTGCTGCCTCGAGCCTGATAGGACCTCAAGCCTTCCTTGCGTTGGGTCCTAGTGCGATAAAGGAGCCGCTCAGATATCAATCTGAGGGTAGTGCATTGGCGTCCTACGGTCTTATTAGGGAGGTACAATCTAAAGAGACACAGGCTACTTATAAACGCCGCCGAAGAGAGGCTAAGAATTATTTCGGGTATTTTGACGGGTCACTGCAGGCGTAGAGGTACTTTTATAATTTGGGGATCTGGTCAAGCGATCTATGTATGTTGCTTTTGTGACTCCACCATTGCACCTTCTCATGGAGTGCGAGGCCGTCACGAATAAGAAAGAGCTGTTTAGGACATAAGTATTCGGCCAGGAAAAGACCACATACACTCCCTGCCCCGAGATATATTCGGGGTATTCTCTCAGTCTTCCAAAGCCCTTGCGTGGTGCACAGATTGAACGGTTTGCAAAGCTGTCCCATACGAAAACCTGCAAGGGCTTTGCAAGACTCGCAGAATACCGCTATTCTAAAATGCGTAGTCTCTACGGCTAGATTAAGTGTTGTGATAAGCTGGGGGCAAAATAGACCTACTGGTTACAGTGCTTACTGTATTCATA